GCCCTGGGAGCAACTCAGCCTGTGCCAGAAACAGCACCCAGTGGGAAGCTTGGTGCCCAGCCTGGAGTCTTCTGTGGTTGACTCTGTATGTGGTCAAGAGTTGGGTCTCAGCCCAGCAGAGACCGTCAGTGAGGTGGGAGTGGGGTAGGAAGGGGCTCTTGCAGGGTACTGTCAAGGCTCCGGAATGAAATCTGCCACACAGGACTGGAGAAGACACACGGATCCTCTGCTTAATCCTTGATTCTACTCTGGGGACCTACCCTGATAGAGATACTGACCCTGGCTTCTGAGATTTATAGGGGTGGGGAAGAGGGAAGGGATAAAAGTTTGTTAAGAACTATTAATGCTCACAGTCAGTCTTTGAGGTGCTGGTGGTTCAAAAATGAAGACCTTGAGATTGAAAGGCTGAGAAAGTCCAAGCTCTTGCTTTAGCCGTGAGGAGGCATTGTAATGTGAAGCAGAGAATGGACTCACAGTCAGGCAGAACTGGGTTCAGATCCCCCTCTTCCTATATGCCTCTGGAGGGCCTTAGGTAGCTGCTGGTCAGCAAGACCTGCCATTGGGAAGACGAGCTGGAGAGTGGGGACAAGCTCTGGGCATCTCGCGTCTGCCAACAGCGTATTTGACTGCAATAATCTTTCAAGGATAACAACTGCTGCTTCATTTCCTACCTTCCAAATCTTGTGCAAGTTCCCATTTTGGCCAACTCTACCCCAGAACCATGCAATAGGGGGATTCTAGGAACTATAGTTCTAGCCTGTCCAAGTTGACTGCACAACTATCACAATGCTGGGACACTACTACCTAAGACAGGGAAAGCTTGGGGAGAAGCAAGTGTGAGGTGGGGAAAATCAGGACTTTTATTATGGACATGCTTCATTTGAGATGCCTGTTGTGGATGACACCGGTGATCCCTGGGTCCTGCTGTTCACACCCTGTGTGATCCCCTCCCCTTCAGTGAAGGCTGGATTTAGTGACTCACTTCTAATGAACAGAATTTGGCAGAGGTGATGGAATGTCACTTTTGAGATTAGTTATAAAAAGACCGTGGCTCTGTCTTGGGTCTTGCTCTCATTCCCTTGCTCTGAAACAAGCCAGCTGCCCCCTTGTTAGCTGCCCGTTGAGGGGCCCACATGGCAAGGAGCTGAGGAAGAATTCTGACCAATGGCCAGTATGGAACTGGGACCTTCTGTTCAATGGCCTGCCAGGAACTGAAACCTGTCCACAACCACATGGGTGAGTTTGGAAGCAAGTCTTCCCTTGGGCATACCTTCAGATGAGACTGCAGCCCCCGCCAACAGTTTGACTACAGCCTCGTGATAGAACCTAAGCTAGAGGCATTTAGATAAGTGGCACCAGGTTCCTGACTCAAAGAAAATGTGAGATAATAAGCATTTAATGTTTTAAACTGCTGGATTTGGGGGGCAATTTGTGATGTAGTGATTGTTAGCTAATACAGACATTCAAGTGGGTATTTGTGATTGGAGCTTACTGGAGAGGTAAAGATGGAGATACTGTTTAGGGACCAGTAGTATTTGATGGCATTTAAAGCCACGGAACTGAATAAGATTATTCAAGTAGGAACAGTAACCAGAGGAGAGCAGAGATCTGAGGAGTGAGACTTGGGGCTCGCCAGCATTCAGGGGTTGGCCAAAGGGGAGAGATTCAGCAGAGCAAGTGGGCATGAAGCGGCTGAGGTAGGAGGAACAGAAGAGTGTGGTGCCGGGAGTCAGGAGCAGACTGTGTTGAGGAGGGAGAGGTCAGTTAAGGTGAAGATGGAGAAATGCCCCTTGGCTTTGACCACAGGGAGCTGGTTGGCCACCTGGACCAAGACCAGCTGGAGCGGAGTGGAAGCCTGGCTGGAGAAGGCAGGAGCAGGCAGGAGCAGGGGGCGACGTGTGCTTGTCTAGGTAGCAGAAGAGGTGCCCAGAGAAATATGGACTTCTCCTTTCCATTCTAGTGTGACAGTTTGCTTTCCTGTGCGGCGCTTGGCACCGGGAGATGGGAGGCAGGACAAGTAGTTGGAGGTTGGGGCAGAGTGGAGGCTGGCATTAGGGAACAGGACATAGCCGGAGCAATTTTGATGGCAGAGCTCAGGAAGGAGCTCACTAGATGTCAATCCTATCTGGGTTAATTAATTAAGACAGTTTCTTTGAACCCTTTAGCCATTCAACAAACACTGTGGGTGGGGACTCAACTGGGCAGTGGTGAGCAGTCATCGAGTCAGATAGCATCCCAAAGGGAGAGGATCCATGGTTGGAGTGGGGGGGGAGACAGATGTTTTAATAAATAGTATAGGGTTTTGTGAGACATCCTGGCTCTGCTATGGGAGAGCCAGGGAAGGAGGGCTGAGCTTGCCTGGGGGAATGAATAAAGACTTCCTGCAGGAGGGGCCCTGGAGCAGAGCTTAAAGATACATTGGTTAGCACTGTGCTGGGTGGTTATTCCAGGTTCCTCCCCACCCCTCCCCTTCAATGCCTCCTTCTCTCCCTCCTTTCCAATCTTCCCGTCTCACTTCCCGCTTCCCTCCCTCTCTCCTCTCCTCCAGCTTCTTCCCTCCTGCTTCTCCTTTTCTTTCTCCTCCCTCTTTCCCCCTTCTCTCTCCTCCCTCTCTCTCCTGCTCTTTTCTCCCCTCTCTTTCCTCCCCCTCCTCCTTCCCTGGCCCAGGATGAAAGGCCCTTGGCAGCTGATGAATTATGCATGCTCTCCAGCGGGTGTGCCTGGCATCCAATTAGGGCCTTGGCCAGGTTGCTAACACAGACAGATTAAAAAGTAATTCATTGGGGTTGACATTTAAGCCCCAATGTGAATGGCAGCAAAGAGAAGCAAATGCTCTCCTGGGTACTTTGTGTATTTTCTGTGGCGGGGAGGAACGAGGAAGGAGGTGCACTCAGCTACCTGCACTTGTTTAACCAGCTCCAGCGTGGAGTAGAGTGACCTGCAGACTGGGCCTTCCAATGCACGGCCGGCCGGGCCGGGGAAGGCCCAAGGCAGGCTTTGGGCAAAGCAGGCATTTTTGTTTTTAACTTTTTATTTAGAACTAATTTGAGATTTACACAAGAGTAGTGACAATAGTACAGAGAGTTCCCATATGCCCGTCCCCGAGCTTTCTCTGATGTTAACATCTTACATAACCATGGTACAATGATCAAAACTAAGAAATTAACATTGGCACAATACCATTACCTAGACTACTGACGTTTTTCGGATTTCACCCAGTTTCCCACTAATGTCCTTTTCCTGTTCCAGGATCCAGGCCAGGATCCCACATTCCAAAGCAGCCTTTTGAGATCCTGCCTCCCCAGGGACAGCAAAGCCTCCTTGCTCCCCAGACGAGTGGGTCTCAAACTCCAGAGTGCAGAGAGTCACCAGGGATTTTGTTTAAAGGACGCGTCCTTCCCTAGGCATCTGATTCCGGGGCGAGTCCTGGGAAGAGCCCTGGCATCTGCACTTTAATGGGCAGCCTGGCCAACAGAGAACTGCCCTGACCCACGCTCCAAGCAAAGTCTTGTTGGCTGCTAGATCCTTTATCAAGTCAGTCGTCATCTTGTAGATTTTCCTCATCCCTCGGCTCACCCTTAGGACAAAGGTGGCTTACCCCCACCCCTCACCAAGCTTTCCTTTTGGCCATTGGGTTAAATGAGTAGCTGTCCAGGGCAAACCCCAGTAAGCCTTGCTTGGAGAAGAGAGAAAATGACCTTTATCTGCCAGCCACAGATATCTACCTATTTTCATTTAATCCACAGAATGAATTCCTGCAAGTAGATAATATTTTTCCCAGGAAAATGAACAAGTAATGTTAAGTGTAGGATTGCCAGATTTAGCAAAAAAAAAAAAAATACAGGAGGCCCAGTAAAATTTGAACTTCAGTTAATACAGTATTGGGGACACACTTATATTTTTAAAAACTGCTGTTCATTGGAAATTCAAACTTAACTGGGCCTCCCGTATTTTATCTTGAAGCCCCAATTAAGTGGTACCCTGTGACTGAGGCGCTAGTAAGTAGGCCAGGGTTATGTGGATCTGACTCAGATGTCTGTATTGGGGGTTCCCTGTGCTTGCCGGCTCAATGCCTGCCTCACCAGGGGGCCACAAGCTACTGAGGTGGAGACCATGTGTATTTGTCCCCTGCTCTCTTTCCAGGGTCTGAAATAATATAGCAGTAGGTGCTTAAATATTTGTTAACTAAATGAATGGCTAAAGGCATGCGTGAATGGACTGTCTACTTTCTTTGTACCAGGGAAGATGGCGGAAGGTGGTGGTGATTAAACAGAAAGGTGAGGCTGGCGCAGTGTCAGGTGATAAACCTGCCTGTAGGGAGGCAAGAGGAGTTACAGGTCTGAGACCTCGTGCCCACACCTGGGGGCTCAGCCCTTGCACTGAACAAGGGCCAACTCTTCTTTTCCTAACCTGTCAGGGCCTCAGCCTCCTCACCTGTGAAATGGGCTTTCGTCTATTCCGGCCATGGGCTTCTGGGAGTCTATGCTTTTTCTTCCTTAACTCCACCCCTCCTGTAGGTAAAGAACATGGCCAGATCAGAGGGTTTGCTGCTAGCCACCAGATATTGACTTCTCAGATCACTATTTCTTCTTTCTCCTCTTCCTCCTCTGTGACAATTTTCTGAGCACCCCTTTGGTGCCTGGCCCTGTGTTGTTTTTTTTTCCTCGAATGCTCCTTTCCATCCGGGCAGACGAAATCAGAAGCCCAGAGAGACCCGGCACAGCACAGTTCCTCGCAGACAAGGAAAGACATTGGGAGCACGTTGTATCTTTTAAAATAGACCTGTTGTCGTTGGAATGTATTTTTAGCCATGGGAGAGACTGGCATGCACTCAGTGCTACCATCTGCCAAAGGCGGTTGCTAGGCAACTGACACTGACGACAGCGAAGAGATGACTTCATGGAGGATCTGGGGACCCTGGTGGCCCAATCCTGCTTCAGTGTCTAATTCCTACATGCCAACAGTCAGGCCCAAGAGAATAAACGTCTCTCTGCTTCTAGGAGAGGTGAGTTGATTCAAGGCCTGTGAACTGAGCACAGAGGATGCTGCACAAGTGAAAAGGACCACTGGGCCATCACTGTCACCTCGATTGGTAGGTTTTCTATTTAGAAACTTTAGATGCTACTGTGATTTAAGGCTGAGCTCTGGACTCAGTGAGCCCCAAGAACACACACTGCTGTTCCTGGCAGCCCCACAGGCCTGAGGCTGAGTTGGGGCAGGAGCTGAGGGTAGACAGTTGGCCTTGAGGAGGCTTCATAGACAAAGCAGCAGGTAGGTGGCCAGGACCCCGGGTTTGCTTTCTGCTTTCTGTGTGAGTCCTTACCCTTCTCTGGCCTCCAGTTTTGTCACCATCAAAGTAAGGATGTTGAACCAGATAAAATACATTTATAGGAATAAAAAGCAGAATAACCACAGAATAGAAAAACCCATAAACCCAACCTGGGTTTGCTCTTGTGTGACTTCAGGTAAGATACCGAACTTCTCAGTGCCTCAGATTTTTTTTTAAATCTGTAAACGATAGTAGTAACACTTTCATTGTGATGTGAGAATTAAACAAAGCAGCACATGGGAGGAATGTACCTTTATTTTGGCACGTTTTGGGCACAGTATATGGGTGAGAATTACTCAGTTCTGCAGCAGAGGCTGCATGCTGTCCACCACAGTCCCTTCTCCTCTTTCTTATTAATAGGCTTTAAGCTGGGCATGTTTCCAGCCTCCCTTGCAGCTAAATTCTCTTCCTTTCTCACGTGAAAGGAAGGGTTGGGTGCAGCTTCTTCTTCACTCACTTACAGGAAAATTGCTTCCCTGGCTATCCTCTCTCTTTTCCTTTCTGTAAGCCAGGGCACAGAAATGCCTGGGACACCACTTGACCATGCAGAGCAGGAGGACAGGCTGGGGGCAGGGGCATGGCAGAGCTGCAAGATGGGAGGGGAGGGGGACTGGGGCTGCTCTTGTCTTAGTACAGCCCCTGTACTGGAAATAGGACTGAGTGCATGTGGTCTGCTTGGGAGGGCATGAGTGCTGGCAGGTGAGTCAGGAAGTGACAGAGGGAAGGGAAGGTAGCCAATAAAGGGTGTGTTATCAAGCTAGCCACGAGTGTGGAGGGCTATAGCTTAATGCCACAGGGAAGCTCTGGGAAATAGTATGAAATGCAGCCTTCAGGGATGGCCAACGGCTGAGAGACTGGGGCAGTTTTACAGTGACACCCATCAGCTGCTGGCACTTCCAGCCTTCTGCATGTCTGTGGGCACAGTGAATGCCCACAGCCCGGGGGCAGCCCAAGGACAAAGATGCAGGTGCTGGCCATGGGCAGCCAGGCTGGAGAGTGCAAACAGTGAGTGGCACTGGGGGACGTGAGCATGGCACCCGCAGCGTCAGCCGTGGGTCGTCAGAAAGAGAAATAAACTTGCACGTTCTCCAGGCCACTGTATATTGAGGATCTCTGCGGCTTAACTTCCCCCCAGCTAGTTTAACTGCCAAGTGTTGTGCATACCACAGGTTTCCGTTTTATTTATTCTCTCCGAGCTCTAGATTCCACGATGTTCAAGGAGGTTATGTTGTGTTTGGGGAAACTAATGCTTTGAGCAGAAGTGTCTCAACAGATAATGCGATCAAATGGTTAATGGTATTTCTGGGGCTCAGGTACAAGGGCAAATCGCCCTCGGAAAAAAGGGCAGATGAGTGAGGACCAACAAGTCAGAGAAGGCTTCCTGGAGGAGGTGCACTGAAGCTGGGCTTTGCTGGAGACGACTTGGAGAGCTGGGGTGGAGGCGTCCTTGCTGAGCCATGTGATAGCTCCTCCCACCAGGCGTGGGGTAAGCAGGTACCCTGGCTCATGTGATGGCAGGGGGGGCTCAGGCCAGTGGATGCTGGATTTGCCTCATTATGCGTTGAGAGGGTGGGCTGAAGAATGCCTCTTAGCTGGGGGGACCTGGAGGAGGGGTGCTATGGTGGGCTGGGGGACTATGTGACCAACACAGGCTGGGCGCTCACGCGGGCAAGGCGTCCAACAGTCTCTGAAGACAGTAAGCACTGAAACCGTCTTGGAAGGGAGGGCTGGGGTCCCCCAGTGATCATCTGGTGCAGTCCCTTCCCGTGAAGGTGTCAGCGGAGGCAACCAGAATCCAGATTTCCTGACTTCCCTCGGTGGCCTGTGCCGTGGACATAGAGATAGGTGGGACCACAGGCCTCAAACCCGCTGCCATCCACCTGTGAGCCAGTTGCTCTGCCCACTGGCCCCTTTCACTTATTCATGGCAGCTCAGAACTCAAGAGGTACAAAGTCAGGCCCCTCTGCCTCCAGACATGTGAGTGTCTTCTGCCCACAGTAGTCAGATACCTTTCCCTTTTTTCATCAGATACCCATCACTTCTCCCTGCTACCTGTCTGTGTTCTACCCCAATGTTTTACCAGTTCTCCCTGGTGTCTAACTGCAGTCATTCCTGCTTTACTTTTGGCTTGATTTATCTTGACCTCTAGGCATAGATTGATGAAAGTGAGGAGTGGGTTGAAATTAGCAAACCCACTTTTATTAATATCTTCATTCTCTGTCCTATTTCAGTGGAAAACGGGATGCAGGGAAGACCCCATCTCTCCTTCCCCTCCCTCCAGTGGGTAGAGAACAAGTAGAAAAGAATGAGACAGTTCCCCCAGGCTTCTGGGGCTCCCCATCACCCCCAGTCTGGGGCAAAAGGTAGGGGCAGTGTCTCTCAGAGGCGTGACCCAAACCTAGGCAAATGAGAGTTGCCCTCTGCTGGCTTGTTGCAAATCCCATCTCCCCCCCACTCCTCATGTCTACAAACAAGGAGCATTTGTTCCCTCGTCTAGATTCTCTTTGCATTTCATTGTTTTGGGGGAAATTGCAGCAGTTCCCTTTGTTTGTTCTCTTTGGGAAATTCGTGTCTGGAATGGTGAGAAGAGAGGAGGGGGGTGCAGCCTCCAGCCCTCGAGATAGATTGGGAGCCCCTCTGGAGCTGGGGCTGAGTGGCCGTGCCTGGAGGAGGGGGAGTAGAGAGGCCTCCACAGGGCACCTCGTCTATTTGGGGAGTCAGACCTACAAGTCAAGGTGCTTGTGGCTAATGCAAGATGGGAGTGGACTAAACTTGCACCCTGAACACATAGGGAGCAAGAAAGAAAGGTCAGCGTGGACCATGGTGATGAGAGAGGATGCCGTGGAGTGGGAGATCTGCCACGGGACAGACACTGCGCTGGCAGGACGAGAAGAGGAACGGCAGCAGTAGCTCCAGTGTTGGGGGGGGGTGGACCATGAAGAAAGCAGAGGCCCTGAGCCCAGCCGCAAGGTAGGAAAACCAGCTGGAGAGGCAGGCTCATTTCAGGGGTGTGTGGCTGGGGGCTGGGGAAGGGGCAAATTGGAAAAGAACCAGGGGAAGGAGGGGACAGTTTCCAATGCTAGGCCCAGACAGGAGGCCAGCAAGTCAGCACCAGGCTCTGACCGCCTGGGAAGGGGACCGTGGAATGTCCATCTCCATTTTCCAAGAGTTTGGGGAGATAAGATGGGTGGGGTGGAGGGACCCAGTGAGCGGGGCTGAAAGGGGGAAGATGGGCAGGCCATTTGCTCAGCAGGCACCTGAGGGCACAGTGATAGGAGCTTGAGGGTGAGGGGCCTTGTCCTGTCAGGTTGAGCTCGTCTCTCCCCACTTGCCACATGCTGCGGGGGCTCACCCGAGAGGAATGGGGTGAAGTCACTTTGCACCAAGCCTGAAGCTCTTCGGCCTGCTGGAGCTCCATTCTGACACAGAAGGATCCCTTCTTGCCCTGGGGTGAAAACCCCCATTCCTTCCCATCGCATTTTAGCTCTCGACCCCTTGGCCTTGGATTAAAGTCCTGTCCTTATTTCTCATTACTGTCCCATCCTCTTCCTTCTCCTCCTCCTCCTTCTCATCATCACTAAATTAATAAAAAGTTAACTGGTTTTCATTGAGCACCTGTATGTGCTAGGAACTCTTTTAAGCATGAAACAAGTAGTAACATTTCACCTTTACCCTTATGGGTAGGAACTATGATTCTCTCCATTTCATGGAAGAGGAAACTGAGGCATAGAGAACCTAACCTGCCCAAGGTCTGCCAGCCAGCCCGTGGTGGGAGGGAGGGTGCATCTGAAACAGAGCTGCTCCCTGTCTCTCAGACGTACCAGGCTTGCTCGGGACTCCCAGCCTTTGTCCAGGCTGTTCCCCCTGCCCTTCCCTCCCCCTCCTCAGCTTCTCCTCTGCCTGGTGAACAGCTGCATGAGACCTAACCTGCAAGGCCTCGCTTCAAAACACCATCTCTGCAAAGTCTTCCCCGGCTTCCTCGGGGAGCACCCCCCTCTCTGGGCACCCCCAGCACACCCTAATTATGGTGCCCATCACACCACACTGCTGGGTTTCGTTCACGTGCCTGTGGCTTCCCTCAAAGGAAGAAACCGCTCTTTTCCTGTTTTTGCACTTTTAAGATAAACATTTAATTGACCTAAATAAAGGAACTATGTTTTCAACTTCGAGGCTTTTTTTTTTTAATCCCCACCACCCCAAGGTCTGGCGTGGAGCAGGGAGCCAATAAGTATTCACCGAATGGAGATGTCGCTCTGCCCCCGCTCCGCCCCTTTGCTGACCACACTGTTCCCGACTCTGGGCTGCGTGGGAAAATGCAGACTTCCCCACAGCTGCAGCTCACTGTGGCCTACTTTGGCTGGAATTCAAGGAGTAATTACAGACAAATGAGTATTATTACAACCCACATCAATCAAAGTCCCTCTCCTCAAATGCTCTCACCAGGAAACAAGGAAGTTCTCAGTCAGATGCTGTCTTAAGCCCACGTGTCTTCCTGGTGACCAGGGAATGTGTGCTCCTGGGAGGGACACCAGCGTTTTTGTCTGTAACAGAGTCTGTAGAAAGTACCGCTGCCTCCTCTGACACTGCAGGTCCCTGGAAGCAGAAAGACCTGAGGTCAAATCCCACCTCTTACGCTCCCTCCCTCCCTCTCTCTGTGGATCTGGACAGGGGGCTTAAGTTGTCTGGGTCTCAATATTCTCATAGGTAATGTGGGGACAATGATTAAATGAGATGGCATGTTCAAAGCACCAAAAGATTTCCTAGGTGATTAATAAATACAAACTTCCTTTTCTCCCCACTTCTCAATCATTGGGTTCTTTGTTCTCTGTTGGGTGTGGCTATGGTTTTGTAATCCTGAGGGCTTTGTGTCAGTACCTTGATGCTAAGTCCCAGCCTTGTCTACATTTCAGGCTTTCTTGCAGCACTTAGAGCATAGAAAACATTTTCCTGGAGAAACTGGGGCTTGCACCGGGCAGGGGAGGAAGAATCATGTTTAATCTCAGATTTATAGACCTTTCGTGGGATGCGAGGGTATCCTGGAGAAAAGGAGAAAAGCAACCGGGAACTAGAAGACCCTCAACCATGGAACTCCGCTCACAGCGGCATGGGGACCATGCACGATTAGTGTGCAAAGCAGTTTGCGTGTGTGATGCAGGCCTGATGTGGGGCCTGGGGAACACTGTGGATGGGGAGGGCGGGACTTTGCTGGGCCAGGAAGTTTTGGGAGAACTTCTTGCCCTGGGCCACTGGCACATGGAGCAACCTGTTTGGAAAAAAAGCTTATGAATCTTGAGACTCAAGTAGCCAGGTGCCTCCATTTATATGGGTGGAGCTTGGGTATGGCAGATTTTGGATTATTTTTGTCAATCTGTTCAATTCACTTTAATAAAATATCCTAATACCCACTAGTGACATACAGCACTAGAAGTTGGGGACCCAGGGAAGAACAAGACAAGTTGCCACTCATGTTGCTCTCTGTCTTCTAGAGTGACATATGAGGAGGTACGGATTGGAAACATGGGGTGTTGTCTCCTGCTGGGGCGGAGGGGAGACCGACCTGAGACCAGAAGGATGAGGACATCTATTGCCATTCTGCAGTGCCAGGTGAGTATTTTTACTTCACTTATTATTTACTCTGTCACTTATTAGCTGTGTTACTGTAGGCAAATCAGTGAATTTTTCTGAGTTCCAATTTACTTTTCTGTATAGTGGGAATAGTGATAAAATCTTTCATTTGAAATAGTCTTTGTGAAGATTAACAGAGACAGTGCTATAACACACTTACACAGTGCCTGTGCAATCACCCAGCAGAGGGTGGCAATGGTAGAACTGATGTGACCCTGAGAGGTCCAAGAGTAGGGTAAGCCAGAATCTCATGGCGAATCTACAGTTGGCACCTTATGATCTCATGGCGCATCTACAGTTGGCACCTTATGATCTGCCTTCTCTTATTCTCTTATCCTACAAAGCTCATAAATTCTCATTCCACTCTGCCATCAGGGACTGTCAGGGTCTACCACACTTCAGTTCAGTCCCACCCTCACCCTGGTGTTCCTCACTGGCAGGTTCATAAAGAGATTCACAGAGAACAACCACAAGCACAGGCACATTTCATTGCTAGCTTGGGCTTTGGCCCCAAATCCCAAAGAAACCACAGTGAGTTGAACTGGATCTCCTTCATGACTAAGTTAATTCTTTATCTCTACAGAGAAATTAAAGTCCAGGAAGCTCCTTTCCCTCATTTCCTTTTTATTCTTCTCAGTCCTAGACATGAGAAGTCTCTCTCTGGGTATAGTCTGGGTTCCCTGTTTAGCAAGTGCTGTGTTGCTCAAATCATCTCATCAGGAGTAGAGATTTCCTAATTCTCCTTAATTTTCTGTCAGTTTTTGCTTTATATTTTTTGAAGCTATGTTATTAGGTGCCTACTAGTTAATGATTGTGATAACTTCTTGTAATTTTTTTCCCATGCAGTTGTAAATATTTTCTTCCCCCCACCTCTTGCAACACAAGACTTTGTACTATGGAGAAGAGTAGTAATCGTATTCTAAATACCTCTTTACCAGCTCTGCTTTAAGCCAGTTAGTTCTCCAGTCCATGTAACTTCTGATGTGAAAGGTCTGGTAAGAGTGTCAGAGCTAGAAGGACACTGGTAAGATCTCAAACTGCTGAGAGAGCCTCATCTTGAGGAGCCAACCTGAGGGCCCTGCTTAGCTCTGCTTTTCCTTCCCTCCCCTTTCTCTAACATTTGTTCCTCATTAGCCCCTGAGAGCTTACCAAGCAGTTGGACTGCCGTTATATCCCTGTGGGTTAGGAAAATCACAACCCCCCTTTTATAAACGGGGAAACTGAAGACCAGAGAGGTTGGTGTGACTTACCTGGGCCTCCCAGCTCAAAAGTGCTCATAATGGCAGAAACAAGACTGGCCTCTAAATCAACGCACAGTGACAATTTTTTCAACCCAGGTTCTTTGTTTCTCTTTTCTGGTTAACTACTTTATAATTAAACAAATGTTGATGGAGCCCCTGGTCTGGTTCCACGTGCTGTGCTAGGCATGTCAGTTTATAAGGCAGACATGGCTCCTGCCCACTTGGACCACACAGTCTGGAGTAGAGAGCGTGTTGACACCTGCCGACAGGTACACTGGTGAGCATCCTGGTTGCTTTCACATCAGAAAATGTCCTGTTTCCCCAACTCAGAGGCAGTATGTTTGAATGTAGGAGCTGTGTCTTTTTTTCCCTCCGTATAGCTTTATAACAACTCCAGGTCTGGGGCTTGGTCACCAAAGGGGTCTCATTAGAGGTACAATGGCCTTCCCCCGGCTGGCCCTTCCCCTGCTTCCTCATACTCAATACCTTTCTTTCACCTCTCCCCTCCCATCTTTCTCCTGATCTCCAGAACTTCCACGTGGACTGGATTCTTCTGGTCTGTAAACTCATCTGAGGACCTACAATGTCATCATCCCACTCCCTCCTCCCAGGCATTTTTGTTGGGAGTCTCCAATGGTGACATTACAGGCAACAGATGAGAGACAGAAATTCCATGATGCCCTCCGTGTCATCCTATAAATCAAGGAGTAGAGGACTGTATCTGACAGGGACCCCACTTTTGTGTCTTCTGAGTCCCCTTCAAACTGCCCTGGGCCCAGGACCCTGACAGCTGTAGGATGGTGCCTCTGATGCCTGTACTCCATTGTGAATATCTTCTGGGGAAAAGTTTGAATAAACAACGGTTTCACGGGGTGTGGGTCAGGATTGGGAGAAGACACCAACCAGAGTGATCTCCTCTGTAACACCCCTCCCTGTCTCCCGCAGGAAGTGGTGCACAGTGATGATGTCCTGCCACCCTGGGGACTTGACCACACTGGACAGAAGGCATCAGGTAAGGAAATTTCTACTGCCCTTTCCATGCCTCGTGGATCACAGCCTCCCAAAATGTTTAGTCACCATTAGAGAGTGGATGTTCACATTTCTCCCTCTCTGTGGCTGGCTGTCCTGGCCCACCAGCAAGTGAAGTTTCTATTTCATTCTAAAGAGAGCAGAGGACATGGAAAATCTTTGGTGGCTTTTGGCAGAAGGATCAAAGCAGGGACAGCAGCCGAACACACAGTCAAAAAGGCTCTAAGATGGACGGGCAAGGGTTGGTTTTGAGGGTGAATTCTTCTGTTCCTCATTACAGTCATCGCCAAGGACTTCTGTCATTCCCTGTTGGAAGGAACAAGGATGAGGAATGTTGGCTGGCGCTGGCCGCCGCAGCCACATGCTAGCAGACAGACAATCCCAGAACAGCTGCAATGTAAGTGTAAGCCTCCAGATTAAAATAAAAGCCATTGATAGATAAGAGGAAGAGAGAGACAGCACTAGTGGGGTCAGAAAAAACCATTTGCAAGAGCCTTTGGTTTGGCCTAAATCCTACGTACAAAATGGGAGGCGTAAGCATTTGCCATGGAAACCGTCAGAGGGAAGCTGGGGGAATTCAGGTCTTGGCAGGTGACTCCAACCCTCCAGTGGGGCTGGCACCCAGTGCACCAGTGAAAATACATGATGCTTTGGTAACAGAAATTCTGGAGAGGCCAGGGCTGAGTGGGAGCATTTTGTAAGGGGGAAAACCTCCCTACCAAGAATGGGCGACCTGCTTCCCGAACTGTATGGTCTGGCAGCTTTGTGTATTCTTTGTCTGTGGAGCTTTATTGTAACTTTATAGTGAGGAATTAAAAGTAAACAAAACAAAAGTTTGAATAGGCTGCCCACAAGGTATGTGCTTGCTGAGTTTATTTGCCTTCCTTTCTGGGAAAGGGCCCTGACCTGGATATGGGGGGAGTTGGCAGCTCTTCCCCGACTCACACAAACCCTTCCCCTCTCTGTGCTTGTTTCCCCTTCATACCATGAGGATGAGGGATTAGATGAGCCCTTCCCACGCACACTTCTTAGAAAAGCATTTGAACAAAACTCAGGCAAGGCACCGAGTGGCTGTGATGTGAGTGTCCTACTACAGCGAGTGTGTGCAAGTCACATATTGCACAACGCGCAGGTAAACTGCCCTCTGGCTCCCTGGCTGCAGAGGCTGGCCAAGCTGGACCCTTGTTCCTCGCCCCAGATCTGCTTAGCTCACTCGCTTCTTTTGCCCTGGACGGTCACCAAGGGCCTTCTCAGCCCCTGGACATGGCATCACATGGACACCACAGTTTCATTTTTCCTGGAAGCCAAGCTCCCCTCGTCTCTTGCGGGTCTCTGCACAGGCTTTGTTGTGGGGTGGCACTGGGCTCATTCTTTCAGCGTGAAAGGCTCCTTGTCCATCTGAAGCAGAGCCATTATTCCTCGAGAGGAAAGCTTGTCACTCCCAGTGCGCCTCTCACATGCCTTTTCTTTCCTGATCAACGTGAGCGGGTATTAATCTTGCTTAATTCCCTGCAGCTGGCCTCCCTTTGCATGGCTGTCTGGGGATAGAGTTCTTTTGTTCCCTTTCTCTTTCTTTTTAAGGAAACATTTTCTTTTGAGTTCTGAATGAATGTCATCCCAAGTTTGTGGAGGGAAACAACTCCCTGTGAAACTTTTGGAGCAGGGCGTTAGAGCAGCAAGGAGGAAAGAAGCCGCTTGCCGTGGTCAGAGGGGTGAGCCTGTAAAGGAGGGCAGGCTTCTGTGTCAACAGGGAGGGTTCATAGGGGCGAAGGGGGTCTCTATTCAGTTTTGGATCCATGCTCACTGCTGTGTGACCTTGGGAAATCCCTTTACCCTCTCTGGGCCATATTGTCATGTGTGCAAGGTGGGCTTTGGATTTGATTAATAGTTTGCAAATTTTAAAAATACTCTGGAACCTTTTCTTCAATTGAAATCTACAGAAACTCAGTATGAATTACATGAAACTGCTGGGGTTTTTTGAAGGTCAAAAATGTCAAATATAGACAATATCCTATGTGTAGCCCAGGGTTTCTCAGTCTTAGCACTGTTGACCTTTTGGGCCAGATAATTGTGGGAGGCTGCCCTGTACGGTGACTAGCAGAATTCCTGGCCTCTACCCAGCAGATATCAGTACCACTCCCCCAGTGGTGCCTATCAAAAATGTCTTCAGACATTGTCGAATGTCCCCTGGGGGACAAAATCACCTTGGTTGAGATGACTACTTTAACCTAATAAAACTGTTAGAAGGGGAGATTGTCCTTTGAAGGCAGAGGGAAGGAGTGTCACCTAGATCCATTCTCTGTGGCCCCAGAGGCTCTTCTGACAAGCCAGTGTCGCAGGGGAGGTAGCTTAAAAATGGATAGACTCAGAGCACTGAAGCCTCTAAGTTCAAAACTTCCATGTGAATCTGGAATCTTCTTTCCAAGTTGGATTTGTCACTGGGGCCTCTGGAGGGAAATGCAATGGCTCCCTTGGTGTTCCTGGCTCCCAGCTCGGAAGGACGTGCAGCAGCACAAGCTGCTCTTTCTAGCCATTCTCATTTGAAAATCTTCCCCAGGAAGTCTTGCATCATAACAGCAATGAGAAAGCAAGTCCCTGAGTCCCGTGTCTATCCTGAAAGGGACCTGTCCATTCTGTGCCACCAATCGGAACAACCCTCTCCGTTCTCTGTAGGTTCAGGCACTCAAGCTCTTTGAGATGCTGGCCTTGGGACTTACGGCAGGTACTTGAGCAGGAGAGTCCCCAGAAAGGTAGGCCAGATGCGTGCTGTGCTTGGGGGTTTGGCGGTGAATAAATCTGTGGGGTGTATTTGTATCCATGCTGAGTCATGGCATATGGGGCCTCCAAGTCCTTTACCTTAGAACCTCCATCTCAGCCTCCCCTGGTACTGCCACACCAGCTGTGGGACCTTGGGCAAACCTCTGCTTCCTCATCTACAAATGCCACCACCAAGACTTCCTTTAAAGGGTGGCTGAGAAGAGTAAATTCAATGACCCATGTAGCTGCCTACACAGTGCCAGACACACAGTGGTGCCTTGAAAGTGACCGTGAGGGTGAACATGCCTGTGCTGATCTTGTGGTTGGCACCACCGTGCCCCAGTCTTCCTGGTTAGATGATCTCCCAAGGAAGCCCCCAGCTCTCCCACAGTGACTGAGACCTGGCCAGACTGGGGCAGGGACCTCTGGGCCCTGGATGCCTCCCAGGAGCACATCTCTTTATGAGGACAAAATCTTTCTTTCTGTAATTGAAGATGTGACTTCAAAGGACTTCTTCTCCCTGAGCCTCAGTTTTGTGGTCTGTTGAAATGACTTCTTGGGGTCATTCATTCATTCCCAGATATTTATCAAGTGTGTATGATGTGCCATTATACTTCCTTTGGAGTCTTCCTCCTTTAAGATCTTTGAGGGTTATTTGCTTTAATTTTACTTCAATTATGTCTTTCCCCCAAATAAAATAACTGTTTTTTTTCTGATTATAAAAATAGTACATGCTCATTGTAAGCAAAGTTTCAAACAATACAGAAAGTTATGAAAAAAACAAAAATCACTCAAATTCTTATCTCATAGATCTACCCATCCTTGATACCCTGTGGCTGCCTTTCAGAGTTTCTTGATGCACCTCTAAGTGATTTTAATGCAGGAATTCAACGAATATTCACTATTTGCTTTTGCTTTTTTGTTAAAGTATAGCATAAAACATGCACATAGAAAAACACACGAATTCTTAGTGCACAAGACAATTTTTGCCTTTGTCACCACGCTGTGCCGATCAAGATCTGGAACATTCCCCACACCCCATAAGCCTCACAGTCATGATCCATCCCACCAGGCAACCACTATTCTGACTTCTGTCCCCATAGATTAACTTGACAGTTTTTGAACTTTATGTTATAGGACTTATGCAGTATGTATGCTTTTGTGTCTGGCTTTTTTAGATTGACCTTATCTGGGCAATTCATTCATTTCATATGCATAAAGTAGCAGTTAATTCTTTTTCATTGCTGTATAGTGTTCCATTTTATGGATACAATTTATTTATCCTATTAATGCATTCATTTATTTATTCTATTAATTATGGACATTAATTGCTTCCAGTTTTTGACTATTACAACTAATATTGTTATGGATGACAAATTAACTTTTAAAGTCAGATGGTAAAGACACGTGTCAACCGTGTCTCTTAAGGAAAAAGGAAACATGGAACTATCTGTCCCCCTGTTGGATCTTGGCTTCCCATTGCACGTTGAGAGGCTTGCAGGAGATCCTCGCTCAGGGTCCTTCCATCAGGAACATTTGGGAATTCTGGGGTAACTTCCCAGGCATCCCAGCACTGGCCTGGTCCTATCTAGTCCGAGGCAGGCTGTCATAGGACTGGTCCCTTTGTTTTGGATGTTGATTGACAGGAAAGTCCAAATAGCTCCAAAGAAAAGAAAAGCAAACCTTCATCCTGGCCTCCTGCCAGGACCCTGGGCCACTTAGGGGATGCCAGGGCCATTTGTTCTCCTTCTCCAAGAACCCCTGTCCCCCAGCCCTGGAGGTGTCTTGGCTGTTAGGTGAGACTAATGAACAGATCACTCTCCCCACTGCAGGCAATGAGCTTTGTTTCCTACAGAGGACAGCAGGAAGTAGTTCCCTGGCAGGACAGCAGGGAGTGGTCTCCTGGTGTCGCATGCTCTTGACTTGGGGCCTGGGGCGAGTAGAGCACTTAGCTGTCCCTGGAGATCCAATCTGGGGAAGAGCAGAAGGAAAGCTCTTTCCACAGCAGGCTCCGGGAGGTGGGGGGGCATGGTGGAGGGCTCTTTTAAGGGTGTAGGAGCACTCTTGTGGCCGCCAACTGACAGAAAATCTACCTGTGTCAGTCCATTCCCTGGGTAAGCACTGCTTTCCCCAGGCAGGTAAGACAGGAGTTAAAAGCACAGGCCTCCTATTAATAACAGAGTTCTACTTTCAAGTGCTGATTCTATGATTCAGCATCCAGGACCTTGGGCAAGGTAATAACTTTGCTAAACCACAGTTTTGTCATATTTTAAATGATGCTAGATCCTCCTTCCAGGATTGTCTTGAAGATCAAATGAGACAACGCATGTCACCCTTTAGTTCAAAGTGCCCGGCAGACTGAGGGTTCCTCCACCCTGAGGGAGGAAAGTGAGAAACCTCCACCATCTATGCAGAGAAGAACGCTGGGTTCTGGCTCCAACCCTACCTCTCTCTAACACTGTCCCCATCCCTCTGATGACATGGTAGTCTGCTGAGTGTTGCTACAGCAGAATACCTGAGGCTGGGTAACTTACAAAGAAAAGAGGTTTATTTGGCTCCCAATTCTGGTGGCTGGAGGGTTCAAGGTTGGGCTGGGGCATCTGGTGAGGGCCTCAGGCTGCTTCGAGGCGTTATGGGCAGCAGAAGAGGAGCAGGGTGTGCAAAGAGGTGAGAAAGGAAGCAAGAGAGAGCCCGTGACCCAGGCACCTCCCACTAGACCCCACCTGCCAGCACTGCCCCATGGGGGATCAAATTTCAACATGAGTTTTGGCGGAGACAAACCACATCCAAAACACAGCAGCTGGACAGGTTTTGGCCATCTCTAGCTCCTCCTATTATAGTTGTAATTCTCTTGGAATCTGCGAAGCTATATTGCTTGTCTCCAAAGACAAATTTGCAATGTAGAGTAGTGGGCAAAAGTTCAGATTCGGAAGTTGGGGAACTAAATACTTAGTTCTACTAAGACTTAACACTCTCATCTATTAAATGGGAGTAACCATACCCACTTCATACGGTTATAGAAAGATGAAATAAAGTAATGGTATGTAAAGCACTTAGCACAGTAGAAGCAAGATAATAATAACAAAAACAGTAAATATTACATAATGGTTATATAAGGTGAACATGGTTACTCATAAATTATTTAAATAATTCATTTCCTCCAGTTGAAAGGAGCTGAATTTTTAGAGCTTGACTCCCATGATAATCATTGAGAGTAAAGGAGTACACAGTAATGTAACTATCCAAAACTTAGGACCCAAATTAATGTTCTTTATTATTTATGATGCTAAGTTAGGATGCAGAGCCCTCACTGTGGTGGGAAAACTTAGCTTCAACTTTTTCTGGGTTACCTAACCCCCTCCTCGATTCCGGAGATGGGATCTTAATCCGTGGGTTTCAGTGCTAAGACATGGGGTGGGGACAGGGGGCTTGTAGGGCCACCTGCTTCTTAATCAGTGATCCCCATAAGGTTCAACATCCATCATCCCTGCCCAGTGGCCCTATAAGGCCAGAAGAGTCTTGTCCTTTGTGGATTACTTTGGGGGCGTGGGACCCAGCCACTTGTGAGCTGGGCTGTGGACCTTCTGCCGTGTGCACATTACCATTCCGCCCTTGGGTCCAGGTTGCACCCCACTTCCAGCCAGAAAGCAGGATGAAGACCCCTTCTATTCAGGATCCACAGGCTCCTCCTTCTCTCCAGTCTCTTCCACCCTTTTCTGTCCCCTCTGAGGCCTGAATTTCTGGAATCTATAATCTGAAACTGAAATGTTTGGCAGCAATTGCTTTTTTTCCTGTCTCACCACATTCTTCCTATATCTCAGCAAAAGCAGCTACAAACACACTAATGAATGCTGTAACATTCTGTCTGGTGTATTTTACATATTGGTATTCTGCATACCGATTTCTGTATCAGTTATCTGTGGCTGTGTAACAAACCACCCCAGGACGTAACTTGAGTTTCTGTGGGTCAGCAGCTTGAATGGGGCTCACTCAGGCAGTTCTGCTGCTCTCAGCTAGGCCCACTCGGGCACCTGGGGTCAGCAGGTAGGCTTGCAGGAGACTAGGTCCGTGGGTTGGGTGGCCGTCGGCTGGAGCAACGGGGCGACTGGATCCTGTGACTCTCATCACCCAGTAGGCCAGCCAGACTGGTCCACAGGGCGTGACTACAGCATCCCAAAGAGCAGCAGCAGGAGGCAAACCCCAAGATACACGCATTTTTAAGCCTCTGCTTATATCACATTTGCTATTGTTTCATTGCCCAAAGCGAGTTGCATGGACAAGCCCAGAGTCAGTGTAGACAGGACCTACCCAAGCATGGTATAGATAAGTGCAGACAGATTTGGGCCTTTACTGCAACAATCCACAGGACCTTTTCTCCTTTGTCAAGTCCCCCTTTGGACAAGGATTGAAGCACCCCTTCTCCCTTGATGTGGCCCTGCAACTCTCTGGGCTTAGATGACAGGGTTTGAAGCTCAAAGAGGGAGGATGGGGTGGAAAGTGTCCTCAAGGTGAGGACCAGCAAGGGGCTGGGAGCTCCCTGGTGTGGAATCCTGAAGCCATTGATCCAACAGCTATGAGCACAGGGTGGAAAATTAGTGGGCATCTTCTGGGTTGCCTTAGCTCAACTACCTTCTTTCTTTGCCTGCCGTACCCATCCAAACCTCAGTTGGAGCCCTTACCACATTCTTTCTTCTATTAGCGCTACCTGCATGGTAACTCCCTCACCTGACTCTAAGCTCTCCAAGGCAAACTTTATGCTTTATTTCCCTCCATATCCCTCCTGATTCCTGTCCACAGAGTTATGCATGTATTAGTTATTTGGTAACGTTCACGGGAGATCCAAACTCCCTCCACATCATGGTAGTATTTCAAAATATTACACTCTCCTGAACTCCATGTTCTTATTTGGCCTTTCTCCACTACATTCATGGCCTTGGGGAAGGATGGCACAGCATAAAGCCACAAAGCTAGGAATCAGTTCTGCACTTCCGAG